TCTATATAGTCTGGAGTGGATCAATCTATAAAATCTGGAGTGGATCCATCTGTAAACTGTACAGTGGATCAGTCTATAAAGTCTGGAGTGGATCCATATATAAAATCTAGAGTGGATCAATCTATAAAGTCCAGAGTGGATCCGTCTATATAGTCTGGAGTGGATCCATCTGTAAACTGTACAGTGGATCAGTCTATAAAGTCTGGAGTGGATCCATCTGTAAACTCTGGAGTGGATCAATCTATAAGTCCAGAGTGCATCAGTCTGTAAACTCTGGAGTGCATCAGTCTGTAAAGTCTGGAGTGGATCCATCTAATCTGTGCGATCTGGTCCACGTCCACCTTTCCTGCTTCTCTTCTGCCTATTCCTTTGCCACATTCACTTCTGGAGCTCGGACACACCATGTCCACGCTTCTGTCTTGCACACTCGGCTCATTCGAGAAGCCTTCCCTGACCTTGCTATCACTGGGACTCCTCATCCCTGTATCTGCACATTCACGGTCTGCAGGGTTGCAGGGAGAGAACCTTCCAGCACCACATCCCAGCTGCCAAGAGCAGTGCCTGATCCTGGCAATTTTTTTTTTTTTTTGAGGGAGTCACTGTGTCACCCAGGCTGGAGTGCAATGACGGTTTCAGCTCACTGCAACCTCCGCCTCCCAGGCTGAAGCAATTCTCCTGCCTCAGCCTCCCGAGTAGCTGGGACTACAGCTGTGTGCCTCCATACCTGGCTAATTTTTGTATTTTTAGTGGAGATGGGGCTTAACTATGTTGGCCAGGTTGCTCGAGAGCTCCTGACCTCGTGATCTGCCTGCCTCGGCCTCCCAGAGTACCGGGATTACAGGTGTGAGCCACCACACCCAGCCCCCTTTTTTTTGTTTTTGAGATGAGTTTCACTCTCGTCACCCAGACTGGACTGCAATGGTGCAATCTCGGTTCACTGCAATCTCCAGACCCCGGGTTCAAGCGATTCTCATGCCTCGGCCTCCCGAGTAGCTGCGTTGGATGACGGGTGTGTACCACCGTGCCTGGCTAATTTTTTTAATTTTAGTAGAGATGGGGTTTCACCATGTTGGCCAGGCTGGTCTCAAAACTCCTGACCTCCGGTGAGATCCACCTGCCTTGGACCGCCACAGTGCCAGGATGACAGGTGTGAGCCACCGCGCCAGCCCTGGTGACGTTCTTACAACCGCTGAACAGGCAAAAACTCAGGACTGGGCCGTGCAGACTGACACAGGTGCACAGAATTGTGAGGGGCCCGTTTCCAGTCAGCGTCCGGGCACCTCCTGTCAGTTTCTACAGACAGGACAGAGCCATCTGAGAGAAAGGCTGTCTCTGCAGCCCTCCTCCGCTAGTGATACGAGCCTGAGGGTGGGAGGGGCGCGTGTCCAGACCTCCCATCACCAAGGTTGTTTTTTTTTTTTTTCTTTTTGACATGCAGTCTCCTGTCGCCCAGGCCGCAGTGCAGTGGTGTGATCTCAGCTCACAACAAGCTCAGCCTCCTGAGTTCCAGCGATTCTCCTGCCTGAGCCGCCAGAGTCACCGGAGTACAAGCACCCGCCCCACACCCGGCCAATTTTTTGTATTTCGGGGTTTCGCCGTGTTGGTCAGGCTGGTCTGGATCTCCTGACCTGAAGTGACCCACCCGCCTCGGCCTCCCAAAGTGCTGGGATGACAGGCATGAGCCACCGCCCGGCGGAAGGCTTGTGTTTTAAGTCCACAGAGGAAGGGACTATGCCACCCTGCTCAGATTAAGCAGGCAGCGTGTACAGCACCTGTGACCACACTGCAGGTGGGAGGAAGAACATGCATTGTTTAAACCTGCTTTTCTAAATTTCCTAACTTTAGGGTTCTCAGCAAAGAACATCTAAGATGCCTCTTAGGACCGAGATGGAGTCTCACGCTGTTGCCAGGCTGGAGCGCAGTGACGTGATCTCGGTTCGCTGCAATCTCCACCTCCTGGGTTCAAGCCGTTCTCCGGCCTCAGCCTCCCGAGTAGCTGGGATGACAGGCGCCCGCCACCACACCCGGCTCCTTCTGTGTATTTTCAGTAGAGACAGCAAAAGCCGTGCGATGATCACGACTCAGCAGTTCTAGGAAACGCCAACGATTTCTATTGGTGTGAGACGCACTTGGCCACCTTTACCTGAACGAGGCACTCCAAGGAACAGAAAAACACAACGCTCAGCGCCGAAAACTTCAGCTCACTGGAAAAAGATTTTATTTCACCATAAAAATGCAAATCGGAATAAACACCATCTTTCCTACCGCGAACGTTACAGCTATGTTTAAGTACTTCTGAGCCTCACTTTGAGGAGCCGATTGTAAAACTCAACAAGTTTGCAGCCTTAAATCTGTGTGAAACATTCCAGTAAAAATAATTTAGCAAAACAGCTTCTTAAAAAAAACACACACACACTAACCTTTACTAGGAACCAAAGCTTCGAACCAACGTCTTTTCTGCTGAATTCCTTCAAGTTGTAAAAAGTGAATGTTTCTGAAGTTAAGGAGCATCAGGCCGTTTGTACCACTCCCCTCACACCGACACCTTAGATGGAGCAGCGCGCGAGTTTCGATCTGAAAGGACTTGCGCCTCCCTCATCCGACTCAATGTGACCCTGTCACATTTCGGCGCCCCACCCAAACTGCACTTCCCAGACAGTTAAAGTTACCATCGGGGGTGAATCAGCAGGGCAAGGCCTCTCTTTAGTGCCAGGTGTCTGCCGCCCCACTCCTTTGGCGACTCCCCCCGCGCCTCCTGCGTCGCGTGCACATCCTCAGCCGAGCGCGCCGGGAGGTCGCCGAGCAGACGCGGAAACCTCATGTGCGTGGGGGACACAGCAGCTCCGCCATCCTCACAACTGCGGGTCTGCACGGTTTTCCTGACAGAGCGAGGGCTGGCCGTGTTAAAGCTATCGGATCGAGTTTTGAAGGGCGAGTGTGTGAAACCGAAGCGCCAAGCGTGCGGCGGCGGAAGATGAGCGCTCAAGGCTGGCGTCGTCCTTCTCGCCGGCGGGCTCCTTGGACACTCGTGGCGGCGGAAGGGTGTCTTGGCTTTGCAGGGGTGGACGGAGAGCGGAGGAGGAGGAGGAGCGGCGGGGCGCTGGAGCTGCTCCTGTCTTTCCGGGCGGGACAGGCCGTGCACAGGCCGCCGCCTTCATTACCTGTTCCAGGCGCTGCGGTGCCTGCTCGGGGACCGGGAGCGCGAGCGGCTCCTGCGGCGGTGGCGGCTGCGCTTCCTGCTGGCGCTGCCCCTGCGCTCCCGGCTGCGCTCCCGGCGGTGCCTGTCTTTGCTGTGGGACCTGCGGGAACGCGTGTGGTCTGCGCTGGCGCTGCGCCGCCGGGGGCTGTCCTTGTGCGCATGCTTCTTGTGGGTCCGCCGCTCCTTGCGCGGCCTCCCGTCCTCGCGGCTGGCGGCCCGCCTGGCGCGGCTCCTGTCGCGCTTGTGCCGCTCGTCGAGCCCGTCTCCGCCGGCCCGGCCCCGGCCCTTGCTGGGCTCCCTGTTGCACTTGTCCTGTTCCGAGCGGGACTCCTTTTTGGAGACGTTCTGCTCGCAGGCGGGGGGACCCTTGGGCTGCTGGTTGTTGTCGGGGATGCAGGCGAGGACGCCGGGGCACCTCTTCTCCGGGGAGCCGTCCTCGGGGGCCACGCGACAAGCGCTCTGACCCTCCTTGCCCGGGGCCTCCTCGGCCACGCTCCCGTTCACGCTTTTGGGGGCGCCGTCGGCCTCAGCGGGTGCCGGGGTCTCCCTGGGGGCGCCGGCCGGAGGCTGGCCCGCGAGGGGGTGCAGCGTGGCGGGGCCCACGCAGCCGGAGGACACGGTGTGCAGGATGTCCAGCACCGGCTGCAGCAGCTCGTCGTGCGCGTGGGCGTCGTCGGGCTTCTTGCTCAGCAGGATGCTCAGCAGGCGCTCACGCAGCTCCCGCTCCTTCCGCTGCAGCCCCAGCGCGCGCTCCTTCTCCTCCTCCACGCGCCGCAGCTCGGCCTCCTGCAGCCGCCGCCGCTCCTCCTGCTGCTGCAGCCGCAGCTTCTCCTCCTTCCGCTCCTGCTCCTGGAGCTTCACGGCCTGCAGGGAAGAGGAAAGTGCCGCTGAGCCCGCGCCCGGGCGCGCCGGACGCCGGGAGAGGAGCTGTGCCGGTGTTTGCAGACCCCGTGGTGGGGGGCGCAGGGGCGGCCGCCTGGCTGGACTCCGGCCCCGGGGTGGAGGCGTCTCCTCCGAGCCAGGTCCGGCCTGTCCAACCCTCAGCTCCCTTGGCCACGGCTGGGCCATCGTGCCTCTGAGTGATAAGGAAACCCCTTGGCAAAGCGACTCGGCACAGCCCCCGAGCGGGCCTCTGGGGCAGAGCCGGGCCTCGCCGTGGGGCCCCCACCATGTCGCACACAGGGGCCTGCAGTTAGGTCACAAGCGGCCGCCAGCAACAGGGAGCTGAGAGGACGCCGCGGACACACGCGTGGCTGCCGCGTGGGGCAAGCCCGGCCTAGCCTGGGTTAGTGTCTTCAATATTCACCATGAGGAAAGGACTGGGCTGCCACATCTCAGCCTCTTGTCAGACTCCTTCCCGGGGACTTATCACAACTGTAATCAGACAACAAGTTATGGGGTGGCCCCGCGCTGGCCTGCAGGGGGACGCAGCCCTCCTGGGGACAAGAAGCGTGCTGGGGAGGTCTGTCCTGGGGAGGTCTGCCTGCCTGCCTGTGAGCCCTGGGCCTGGGCTCGTGGGGGGTTACCAGTCCTCCGTGCAGGAGGGGCAAGGAGGCTGCCGGCGCCGAGGGATCCTGAGTCCCGGCGCCGGGGAGACCTGCAGGCTCACACTTTGGAGGTGGGACCCAGCCCCCTGCAGGCCCCTGAGGGCCCAGCCCTCCGCCCAGCCCGCCTTGCCCTTCTGCTCTGGGCCACTGGGGAGGTCGCAGCTACACCAGCTGACCACACACCAGGGCACAGCCCAGAGCGGCCCCTGCACTCTGTGCCACCACCCTGACCCAAAGACGACGGACAGCCTCTGCCCCGACCCTCCCGGAGGCGGCCAGCCTGCACCCGGGGAACCTGGATTTAAGAGCTGCGACACCATCGGGCACGACAGAGGACCGCCGCGGCCTACCGGGCAGGAGCCGCCATCCTCGGCATCAAGGCTGGTCTGTGTGCCGCGGCGGCCGGCGGGGAGGCGGCGCCGTGACGCCACCCGCGTTTTAGGGGAGGCGCGGCCGGCGGCTGCGGGGCCCGGCGGCGGTACCTTGGCTCTGCTGAGCAGCTCAGCGATGAGCCGGATGGACTGCAGGTTCCTCTGGGCCAGCAGCAGCTTGCGCTCCTCCAGCCGGATCTTCTCCTGCAGCTGCTTCTGCTCCTCCGCCTGCAGCTTCTCCAGCCGCTTCTGGCTGCGGCGCAGCTCACGCTCCCGCTGCTTCTGCTGCCGCTTACGCAGCTTCTCCTCCCTTTTCCTCTCCCGCTCCAGCTCTTCCAGCTCCTTCTGTTTCCTGCGTGGGACACACCGGGGGGTTCGTCACAGACAGCGCGGCAGCCACCACCACCCACCGCAGGAGCAGCCTTTCACACCACGGGGAAAGGCCACGCGCGAATATCAGGCCCGTAACTCCGTGACCTTCCAACGCCGACCTGCTAAGTGTGACCGAGCCCTGAAACCCCCGCACCCCGCAACATCAGAAGCCACGCCCCCCCCAGCCAGGGGAAAGAGGCACGGACAGACTGGGGAAACAGCGTCGGCAACAATGCGAGATACCAGTGAGGATCCTGGGGGTAGCATCTGTGGCCACCACTGAGGGAAGGCCAGCGCCCCAGTGGGGAACCGGACATGGGAGAAGGACACAGACGGCCACGAAGCCACATGAGGCACCCGGCTTCAGCCAGTGCATCCATCGAGAACACAGCACCAGAAAACAGCACCGAGCACAAACGGCAGGGAAACAGGTGGCAGCTCCCCAGGAAAGCTTTCTAAGAATGCCGCGTGAAGCCCAGAATGCGCACAGGCAGTGAGGAGGCCCCAGACGGCAGCGTCTCGCGGAGAGGAGGGGGCGCATGGGCCGCGAACAGCCATGCACGAGAGCCTTGTGGACCATACGGCTCTGAGGACCACGGACCGCACATATCCATGTGCTATGAAATTCTAGAAAGGGCACACCCACGACGGCGGAAACTGCCAGCCTGGCTGCCCAGAGCTGCGGAGAGGGTGACGAGTGAGCAGGGTGGGAGGGGCCCTTCCCAGGTGACGGGGCATGTGCCCTCGTCCCACCGCACCCAAACGCCAGCACGTTCTCTGCCTGACGACCACCCGGGACCTCAGGGAGCACAGGGGCGACCACACACGCAGCTGGACAGAGAGGGGCCCGTCCCAGCAGCCCGGCGGCGGCAAAACACAGCAGGACCTCCTAAGAGTGGGCAGGGCAGGGTGAGGTGGCTCATGCCTGTAATCCCAGCACTTTGGGAGGCCCAGGCGGGCAGATCACGAGGTCAGGAGTTCTGGCCACCACAGTGAAATCCTGTCTCTACTACAAATACAAAAACCAGCTGGGCGCGGTGGCGTGCGTCTGTAATCCCAGCTACTCCTGAGGCTGGGGCAGGAGAATCGCCTGAACCCGGGAAGGGGGGCTGCAGTGAGATGAGACCTCGTCACTGCACTCCAGCCTGGGGGACAGAGTGACACTGTCTCAAAAAAAAAGAGAAAAAAAAGTGCAGCCCAGAAGCCGTGCGTGCAGCTCTCACCAGCACCTGACAACCTGAGCAGGCCTGAGGCAGCCACGGAAAGCACGTGGCATGGGGAAGCCGTTTCTGCCCACCAAGGAGGGGCCGTGCTAGGTCAGTCTGTGTGTGCAGGAATCCTGTAAGGGCCCTGCATAGTGCTGGCACGGGGCAACCTCACTCTAAAGAAATAGAGCCACGCCACGCAGGTCCTCACTTGTCCTGCAGACAGAGGCATCCTGGAAACGAGGATGCATGCAGCCGGGTGCGCGGCACAGCCCCAGAGTCTCCACCGGGGAGCTCCCCAGCTCACCCTCCCTGGCCTGCGGCTCTCAAATGTATTTAAACCGCCACCGGACACCAGAACAGGTCACAGCCGCTCCTACGGAACAGGACACGGAGGCTGAGACTTCTGAAGCCTGGGGGGGCACCGCCAACTGCCTGGCGAGGCAGCAAAGCCCACCGGGGTGACACAGATGCCGAGAGGACGCTCAGGGACGCAGAGGAGCAGGCCGGGAGGAAAGGCATCCCGAGCTCCGCCACCCCAAGAAGGGATCCAGGCCAGGCGCCGAGGCCCAGTCGGAGATGCACAGGGAACAGGAGCCGTGGGCAATGGGACGAAGGCCCTCAGGCGGGGTGTGTGCTGAAGGTTTAACTGCCCTGTGAGCTGTCACGCCCCACACTCACGCTCAGCACAGAAGTGCACCCTTAGGCGGGACTCACACCCATACTTAGAGGCTAGGCAGCCCTCAGAGGACAGCTCTCACGTGTGGACCCAACAAGCAAACACGTACCATCTCCACTCACCAGTAAAAACACCGGGGGGCCACCCTGGACCTCCCCCATGCTCAGGCCCTGAGGAAGGACAGTGGGGACAATGGGGGCCAGCACGGCCCTGCCTGGGGAAGCACAGCCCCACTGGCCACCCTGGAGCCCTCCCACCAGCTCCCCCAGACCACAGGCCTGCCCCACGTCAGGGCCCCAGCCACAGCCAGGCGCCGTCCTGCCATCCACAGCACAGCGCCTTGCCCCACTGCCCACAAAAGCCCTCTGTGGTCTGGCCAGGCGGACAGGGCCCCTTCCCGTCACACACACTCCACTGCTCCTACGTCCGTCTCCCTGCAGGGCAAGGC